AATAATCCCCAAGAAAGTTGGTTCTGATGGGTCAATAAGTTAGGAAGAAATGATTTCAGAGGCATTATTAGTTTCTATTTTTACACCAGCAAGAAACTTACGAGTAATAATGATACTCCTTCATTGTTAACAATATACAGGAGGTCCGGAAAGGTCATGTCGTAAATGATAGGGCTGATCGAGTAAGCCAAAATAATATCATAGTACTTCTTATAAAAAAATGTCTATCACGCTGTCTAATCACATTTATGTCATAGAAAATCTCATATTATATGAATAGAAATGTAAATCGTACTATTGAATTTATATACTTCATACTGTTTATTATTATTCATATTGATATCTTTAAATGCATTAATCTTCTTATTTATAAATTTTATCTTGAACCCTAATCACTTATCCATTACTTTTTGTCTCTTTGGTGGCATTTCTTCATCGTTAGATTCGACAAACCTTCCCGATTCTAGTAGATCTTCGAAATCTTCAAGACCATCACCGTCTTCGTATTAGTTCGTATTCAATATTATTTTTAGTCTGAATTGGTCCTTCATCCACAATTTCATCTGAATCACTAACTTCCTTGTATGTTTTTTCTTCCACATTGGTGCAATTTTCAGAACCAATATTATTATGAATAATAATAATCAGTATAAAGTATCTTAATTTAATAGTACGATTTACATCTCTATTCATATATTATGAGATTTTCTATGACATAAATGTAATCAGAATTTAATAAATCCTTCCTTTGAATCCCATCATTAATATTTAGAAAACAACTATTTTCGCATGTTTCTTGCAATCTCTATGATTTATGGATTTGTATTTTTTTGTATTTCAGTGTAACATAGAATCTTACGTTTTTCAAGTAATTGAAGTGACAATTTTACAAAATAGCTCAAAATTGTACATAGTGATTAAAAAAAAAATCCGGATTCGAGTTTTTTCTTTTCTTTGCATTTTCTGAGAACATTTACCATAGTAATGTATATATTTCCTTACATTATCAGAAAGAAGAGATTTCAACGAACAAAAAACAACCCGAGTGTTTTTAAAAGACTGATATTTCGACGTGAGAATTTTCGATTGAGAATTATGGTGTTTTTTCGATATTAAGTCAATATAAGGTGAAAAAATAAATTTTTCAAATCAAAATAATTACAGAGTCTTTAGGACATGAAAATGTAAGTTTTGACCAAGTTTCGTGAGAAATTTTTTTTTGCATAATATTAAAATAAAAAACCAAAAACTTGATTATTTGAATTTTTCACATAAATTTTGAGGTGAAAAAAGTGTGTTCACAAAAGTTGTAGGTCTCTTTATTACTATTCACCTTTTTTCCATATGGCTCGTAGTTTTGCTGGAAATCAAGATAAACTGTTTTTTACCCTTGAAAACTCACCCCTTACCACTTCCCGACCTCAGATCTCCCGTAATTTATTTTCCCTTTCATCTTTGTTAGGTATATTCTCTTTCTCTTTCAATGAGTTTCATCCTACTACGATTTTTTCCTCCGATTGGCAGCAAATATTAATTTTGCTGACACATATCAATCAGCAAAGTATTACTTTTCCTGCCTAGGCAGCAAAGTGGGTACTTTGCTGCCTAGGCAGCAAAGTGGTTGCTTTGCTGATTGATATGTATCAGCAAAATTAAAAATCCATAAATCGTTTATAATTTCCTTCATATTTCATACGAGACTTCTCCGGCCACAAATTCAACTCTATATTTTTTGCCACCTCCCTTATTAATGGAGGTGTAAGTATACTTCCAGGTCGCTATCACTGTCCATTATATAATAATTTGAATACATCGATATTCTTTCGCACAACAGTCAGAAATTTCATGAATTGTCAAACCAACAACTGCGATTTCTATCAAATTTTATTTTAATTGAACACTATACATGAAGAATAAAGAGATTGTGGGAATTGTATTAATTCGCAAATACAATAATCTCCCATATCATTATGAACAATCGGAGAAAAAATTATATGTTCAACTCGGCAGTCAATCTACTACTTTGCTGCCTAGTTAAACAAATAACTATTCTTCACATTTTACCGTTTTCAAAGGCTTCAGCACTGGTCTATAAGGAGGGAAATCGCATGTTTTTCCCTATTTTCTAATCGTGAAATCCATATAACTTGTATTTTTCTGAACTGAGGTTAACATTTGTTGGCAAATATGTAATCAGACATAGAGTTATGCTCGGAGTTCTGGTTGCACACATTTTTGATGTAAGATGTTTGAGTTAAGTAATGAATATTTTTTAAAAACAAGTGGCTTATCCTTTTCTATATATGCGAATAATAATGGGAAGGGGATATATGCCACCGTATGTAACTTTCATTCAAAAAAGGATCTGGTTCACTATCTTCATCACAAAACTGGAAACAATAGTCTAAATTTCTCTTACAATCACGTGGATCCTCCGACGCCATGTTGCTTTTAACGGTGGCTTGTTTCCTTTTGATACAAAATATAATCAATCACCCTGTACATACATTAGTCGTTACAAACATCATGCGAGTATGTGTGATCCTTGGTCGTTCTTACTCGCTTCCTCTGCCCATTAATTCACATCGAAATAATTATTTTTTCTCAATTTGTCAACGAGCTCGTAAATGTGGCAGTGTGCCAAAAATAAGCAAGCCATAATTAGGTACTTTTTTGGCGTAATATATACTGTCACTGATGTTCGAAGCAAACTTGGTAAACACATATTAATTCTAAACGGCTCAACGAAAATAGAAATTGTTTGGACAAAACTAATGATGAGCATACATACGTATATATACCTATACCGAACCATGTCACTAAATCTCAAATCTTAAAAACAAATGCTTAGTATAGAGATCTACGGGATGAGTCACTCGAGAGGAGTTGCTGTTTTAAACTTTATGCACGACAAGGCGTCTTATCGCTCGGATTCGCTGGTGTAAAGTAGCACTTTAGCGCCCTAGGACGTAAAGGGGTACAGCGGGCGGTGAAGTAGGTGATCGGGTGAAGTAATTTCACTGTGTATTGAGTAATTTCTAGTAGACTACCATTGGACCAGGGCATAAATAATTTGTCCAACTGAATTCAAAATCATTAATGAATTCCATTTTGACATTAATAAATGTCTACAACGATCGTGCCTAAAATGTTGTATGTATGTATTTCGGGCGAAACTTGCTTTTATAGACTTAGGCGCAAATTGTGGATGAAATGACTTATTTCAACTTGCATATCCAGTCATGAGGTTGTTGTGTATCCCCAATTTAATATCATCCTGTGGAATAATTTCTTCCAATTTAGTAAATTTTTTTTTTTAGTCTGGTTCTGGTTCTGGTTGTTCTGGTTCCCACGGAAGGGATATCCTGTAATGTTCATGTCTTTAGGTTCACTGTTGTATTGAAGATGGACGTCGATATGATTGTGGCGACTTGAATGGGCTTGTATCACAAAAAATGTTTATTTCATAATTCGATAGAACTCACCCAAACTAGCTCACCACCGCAAATCGTTTCTTGCTGTGAGCTCCCTACGTTTTATAAAAAATTATTGAAATCCCCGATTTTTCGGACCTGTGAAAACGAGGCGATGATGTGACGTCAAAACCCTAATACTGAAACAAGACTATTCCAGACAGAGATGAATGATACATGATTTCTAACAGAGTGAATAAGCTCGAGATCACAGTTGAAAGCATCAATATATCAGTTGCCTCAGTCTCCGACGGGCTTTTGGTATTTTCTTTTAACTATGACGAGATGAGGTTTCTACGTCATAAGAGGGTCCGTTTTCAGAAGGTACTATTATTAATGTCCAAAAAAAAAATTCCAGTTAATTTTTCGACCGAATTATGTCGTCAATCATTATTTATGTATAAAAGGATCATTATAAACATGGTTTGAGTTGAAAGTTCTACTAAGGTGTACACGCCGATTCTCTAAGTATACTAATATCATCATTATATCTCCGATTTCAGGGTGATTTACCATGAATTGACCCCCTCTTCTAGCTCAGTTATTTTTGAAGCGATCCCAGAATTTGAAAAATTATTTGAAATTATTTTTGATAATTTCTTTCCGCTCCATCAGAAAATACAGGGTGCTCGGAACAAACGATCTACAGGATACTAGTTGATTTTTTCAAATGAAACACCCTGTATTTCATTGAACTTTTAAATTCTCCCTGAAGAGCTGATTTCACCAATGTATCATACTTGGGGTCTAGCGGGAATGAATTCAGAGATATATAGGGTGTTCAAAATCGAGATTTTTCAAATTTAGGATTTGTTTGTGTTAAAACTATTTATTATTGGTCAAAACGGCTTTCATGCCCTATCTTGACTTTTGATTTACTATTTACTGACATTTAATAATTGGAACAGTTACAGGGTGATCAGGATTCTGAATCCTGAACTTCCCTGTACCAATTAAATGTCAGTAGATAGTGAAACAAAAGTTGAAAACTGAAAACGTGAGTCGTTTTATTCAATAATGAAGAGTTCAAACACAAAAAATTCTAAAGTTATAAACTACATACCCACAATGAAACATAACAATAACTCGACCTCATACAACTCAAACAAATCCAATGAATAATATAGGACATCATCATTGAGTATATGTACACATATCAAAAATGAAAGACAAAGATAATAAAGCCGTGAAATACAATTATTCGGTTCGGATTGTAAATGAATTAAAACTGAGAGTCATTTTAGTGACATTTACTGCGACATTTGATACATCTCAAAAGTTTATGAAAATATTATTTTTTACACCCCTTCACGAAGAAACGTAATTTTGTAATAAATACTTTGACCTAAACCGTGATTTCCGTAGAACTTCATCTTTTGTTTCTAGTGAAGAAAGTTGGCAAGCTGAACTCGCTAAAAAATATCACTTTCGTCACTCGTAAAACAATAGATTATTTATCGTGAACAGTGCATTCATTTTTCATTTCAACCAATAAAAAATAGATTCCGATGATTCTCTTTCTTCTAGTTGGTAGCGGCGGTATGGATTCAGGCATTTATTTGTCAGTACCTACCACTATTTCCACAAGAAATGAAAACTGCTACTAAAGAATCAAACTAGTAAAAGAGCAATAACCTATGGTCAATGCCAATAGCCGAAAAGAAATATTTTTTCAGCTCTGAAGAAATGCGCGCCTCAACCATTCACCATATTTTTTTTTCGAAATAATATATGTCTTCGATGTGCTTGTTATGCAACCTATCATTTTGCACCCTACAGAAGTCGTTCAATATTTTGCGCTCACAACGACGTCCTCCGATGCTATATGCCAGACTCCCGAATCCAGAGATTCATTCACTGCCTGTCAATGAAGTTGAACAAATCACGAATCGACCGGAATACCAATGCAATGGTCATTCATCAAAGTAATATCTCTGTTTTGCTGTGTTTTCAGTATTTCAATTGAGATTTTAATTGATTAAACAAAACTTTAGCATTATGAAAAAATCTAAGTATGATGCTTGAAATATTCATCAATAGCATGCAACAGCTGTATAAAGAAAAAGTCTGTTTTACCTGGTTTGTTTGTGGGAGGTAATGTAGCAGCACTCAAATCGCTCAAGGAACTGTGAATGCTGCTCCCCACATTGCTTCCGCCAATTGTTTTCACAGAAGTTCCACTGTTCGGTCGATTTCTAATCCTCCGTCTAGAAAAAAATAAACATAACTATTTTGAAAAAAAACAAGGTTCAGATTAAAGATGCGGGGTGAGATTTGAATTTTGGAGAACTTCCATGTCCGTTTGAAGTTGATTAATTCTCAATCGAGAGTTTTCACTGTTCTGAACAAGGAGAAATGAAAAATCCAAGATAAGAGCTTCAACTGTAGTAATCCATATTGTTGAAAACATTTCTAGTTGAGAAGTATTGTCTGCGATGAAACATGCTATTAGGATGTTTTAGGCCTGATTGACACGACTGTCTACTGTCTATCCAGGGTGATTCATTGAACTCAGTGTTTTTCAATCTTATTGACTTAGCGACCCCTTTACAGGTTAAGAATACTCGCGACCCCCTTGTCAGGCAGACAAAGGATTTATAATTCAAAAGGCTATACGACAGTGATTTTCTTTATTTTGATACCTTTACTTATTAGTCTGCAAGAAGCCGCGAGAGGTCAGGTGGCTTTCCAAAGGAAAGGTTTTAATACTAAGAATTGATCACTGAATCAATGAATGTTCTTGCAAGATACTGAGCTTGAATACACTTATCCAAGGTAGAGAAGAAAATATTTCAAAACTTAATGTATGGTCAACCTCTTTTCCATCTGTTCTGAAGATTGTTGAAGATAATGCATCAGACCAGACGTTCGTGGTAAGTGCATGATAGAGAGATTTCTCATAGTTTGCAAGACGAACTTTTAGTATTTTTTTCCGACTTACAATCTAAATCTGACAATGGGCGTAGATGGATTTTGAATCCTTTCTCGGATAAGTCAACAGAATTGGCTGATCTCTCCATAAATTTGAAAGAATGCCTCATAGATTTAGCTGCTGACGGCATTCTTGAAATATAATTTTATTTACGAAGTGTCGACGTGTTTTGGATGAATAGAATACGAGAATATGCAGAGCTAGCAGGGGGAGCTATAAAATTATTAGTACTATTCGCCACTTCATACTTGTCGAGATACTTGTGAACTGACATGCTCCTTGATGGTAGACATTGAGACTAGAAAGAGAAATAGACTTCAATTGAAAAATGATTTGATTGTTACAGTTTCAAAAATAGCACCATGCACGATTAAATAAATGTTCGAAAATTGAACAAGCTCATCCTTTTCACTAGAATTGTGTTTTTATTGTAGTCTGTAGTCTAAATAAAATTCCGGGGCAATTGAATTCTGAATCGGTTTTCTATGTAAATTTGTTCTTGAGATATTTATTATTTTAAGGAAATGAGAAACATTTTTGAAAATGTTTAAAAAAAGTACGATGTCGCCGTTCCACATATTTTAATTATTATTGAACGTCTGGCAACGTTGCAGAAGTCATTTGGAACTCACGGTGCTTCTATAACATCGCTGAGTTCGGTTTTTGAACGCTTCTCAAGCAAACTTCAGATTTCAATATCATTCGATAAAAATATAAACTCTCATTTGGTATAGTTTTTTCGTCTCCTATTACCATACCCATTTCATTTATGACTCCAATGTGAGAAATACCCTGTACATAACATATTGAAGTTTAATCATCTTGATTCATTATCTCTCAAAGTTTAAAAGGACATGTCGTTCTCGAGATGGAGATGAAGATAGAGGTGATCGACCTAAATTGAACACCCTATATAACGGTATAGAAACTTACTTCTCTGAAGAAGCTAAGCTCTGCGCAGATCCTGGTCTATTTACTGGTGTAGCACTGAAAAAAATCGCTACAGTGAGCACATTTAAAGCAATCTATTGAATGAGTAAAATCTTACGTTCGATCAAGCGGTAACTTTGGATTCAGACGATCAGATACAGACCTAAAAACATGCAATAATTTACTGAAATTGGTACCCTTGTGAATATGATTCTTCTTACTCACTTTCTCAAATTAGGGGATGAAGCACTTATTCCATTAATACTCAAGCCAGGTACTACTTTTCTGAAAACAAAAACATGCAAATACTACAAGCAACCTGATCAGATAATTTTAACTTACAACTTGTTATTTGGACTTTTCTGGTTCATAATAGTTCTACTCCCAGATTTCTTCAATTCACTTTGCCTTGGCGATACACCAGTGTTCACATTTATGTTATTAAACACTTTCGATTTGATTTCCTTCTTCGGAACTGTCTGTTCACTCTTACTGATTTTGTTCATTACCGCATCCCATCTTCCCACAGGCTTCTTCACAGACTTTTTCTCAGGTTGCACCCGGTTAGGCTCCAACATAGCCTTGACCTTCGAAGCTACATCCCTCTTTGGCATCTTGTACTTTTTAGCAATGTTTTCCTCTTTGGAGACATGCCTTGGTGAGGAAAAACTAGAAGGACTAGATACACCAGGACTAGGAGCATTCCTCTTCTTTGGATTCTCCTTGAGCATCGAACTATCCGATTCCTTTTTCACCAAGGTCTTGTCGAACACATCCTTGATGTTATTCTGACTATTCTCAGAGATTGTTTTTGAGCTAGTGTCTGAAGGTGATACATCAGCTTGTTCCTCGTTCCTAGTGTTACCTTCTATGTCGGTGAATATTCCACTGGAATCCATATTTTCTCGGTTATTCGCGTAAATATCAGCAGCTGCCTGGGGATCAACTCCATAGAGAGTGCCGTCGATAACCTGAGCTCTTCTGTCCCCTCGCAAAGGATTTTCTTCGTGGTTATCTGCATCGCTTTCTGTGTAGAAGTCAGAATCAGTCATGGGATCTGGCCTCCTAGTTTGAGGTCTAGGCAACGGTCTCCTAGTCAAAGGAGAACTATCGGCACCCCTACTGGCTGGCCTGGACATTTCTCCATCCCCTTGATAACCAGTATCCAAGCTGGTAATACTGGTTATGCTTGTTATGAAGCTGCTCGTTTTGGATTTCGATGGTTCTGTTTTAGGATCGCTCTCGATAATCGGAGTGGGATCTAAAGGCAGTTCCTCAGGAGAAGGAGTCTGTTCTATCCTCGCTAACATTGACTTGTCCACAGAATCTAAAGGCAGCTCCATGTTTATCGTAGTGTTGGTTTTCATAGTCACATTCGATAAGATCTGTTCGTCTATTATGCCTAGGCTATAATCGGTCATGCTAGTTAAGTTTGGGCTAAGCAAATCGTGTTTAGTTTCTTTAGAAAAAGGAATGTCTATGTTGAGCGACTTAGTTCTACTCGGTATACTGGCCGATTGGTTTAGAAAGACACTCTCGTCTTTAGAACTTGGTAGCTCAGTCGATTTTCGTTCTTTGGGAAAAATATCTTGAATGTTTACTTCATATTCTAAGCTAGGTGATCTGGTTGCGTACGGGGTTAGAATCCCGAGGGACTCGTCGAGCTCTAGAGAGTCTCGCTTGGAGTCTTCATCATTGATGGTTTTCTGTTCAGCATGGATAGAACTGATACGAAGTTTTCGGAAGGTTGTTTCTTTGACACCAGAGCGCATGGGGGTCGAAATAGTAAATCTATTGAGTTCCAAATCATCCACAGAACTTCTTAGTTGAGGAAGGGATGAAGGTTTTTCAATTGTTTCTGATAAATGATTCTTGGAGTTAGACGTTCGTCTTCGTTTCACCTCTACGCTAATGTCTTGTAGGAGATCGTCGCAAGATTTTTCGTTTCGTTGGTACGTTAGATTGACATTTATGTCTGTGTGATCATGTGCACCATTGATTGTATTTGAGATCGTTGCAGATGGACCTGTAATTGGCGAATCAAACGTTTCGTTTGTTCTTTTCTTGCTGTTATCTTTGGTTACTGTCTCATTCAGGATAAGTTTTTTTATTCGGGTGTTGTTCAGCTCTGTGGGTTGTTTGAAGGTTTCTTCGTGCGGTTTTGGGATGTTGAATGTGGAATTGTCTTGTTGCAACACTTCGAACGTATCGTTTTTGTTATTGGTGGGTTCTCGATTTCGAAGGAACGTTAAGTTTTTGGGTAGCTGTTCGTTCAAGTGTTGGTCCGCGCTGATTGCAATCCTGTCGTGTTTGGGGTCGATGAAAAGCATGGAGTACGGTCCTGAGTCATTGTCCGCACCGTCGTCGAGTAGAGCGACTTTGGCGAGTGGCGCCATCAGTCCGCAGCGGGCGGAACACGCGAAGTAGCGCACTCCGCAAACGCTGCCATCGTTTTTACCGATCGGCGCGTTTAGTTCGATGCCGCACCACGTACCTTTCGCGAACCGGACGGTACCGACGAAGCGAAGGATTCCTTCTTTATCGCCCGCGCGCGCGCGTTGGCCCACGTGTTTGACGGTTATTTTCGGTATTTCTTCGACAGGTGGATGATTGGCGGTTATTTCTTCGACAGCGACGTTCAACTGGGACCGGATCTGGGGGATTCTGGAGCCGAATGTCGGGATTCGGCAGATACCAGTCTGAAATAAAAAAAAAAAGATGTAAGGCTTGTCAGAAAAATTGGTTCAAATGAATGTTTATTGAAACGAATTTCAAAACCAAGTACCTATAATGTAAAAAAAATTGTAAAATTTGTATATCGCTACTTCAAAGTTGGGAACCAACTCCCCAGAAGTCGAAACTTGTGCGGGGTTAGGAAGAGCGGGACCTACAGCTTATAGTGGAATCCGAACCACTTCTAGGGCATAATGTGTTTGGTATCATTGGATTCAGAATTTTATGTACAGGCTGTCGCATTTTCGATGTCCTTACGGGTTACCTCACATATTTTCGAAGATGGAGATTCGCGGTTTTCACGAAGGTGGGCTACTTTTGTGAAACTCGCGATGCCGCAAACAAAATTTTCATAACTTGCTTCGTTCTTGAGATACAGGGCGAAATTGAAACGGTTGCATTTTGGGAGCCCTCTTGTATCTCAGCTATCTTTCAACTTATCGAAAAAGTAAAAACTTTCGCTCATACATTTTTTAACGTCAAATCCAGTGGCGTAGTCAGATTTTCCTAATAAACTGTAATTATTCAGATATAACAGATCGTTGTTTTTTTTTATGGAACACTCTGTATATTTTTTCATAATTGAAGTATTGCTGCTATGCGCTTTCTAAAAATATATAACACCCATGAGGAATTTCAAGTGTTAGCCATGAATGTAGATAATTTCTAGTTTTTCAGTAGATATTTTCATCGATGGGTCTTGTAAATAGGTGGCAACATTGTCTATATCACGAATTTTTATATTTACCTTGTTGCTGATAGAGTGTTTCATGACACACTAGTTTTAATTTTATCAACATTCGACATTTACCAATATTCAGCAAATTTTTTTATCGCTTGGAGCGCACGAAAGGAAATCCCTATAATGTTCAAAGAACTTCGTGCGTTCCTAGGGAGGATAGGGACAGGAGGTAGGTATTTTTTTTGAATTTCTGGAGATTATATGTTGTTGGGAATACTTCCTCAGGCAATGAATTCCATTTATTCGACCTGGGGATTTTTTCAAAAACAACTTCTCATCGATTTGGATTGGGAGTACCGTTTTCACGTAAGAAACTTTCAGGTATCATATTCTGAGATGAGGAAAAAAATACCATACAAAATTTAATTGTTTCCCCCCTTAACCCACCCAGTACGTTAAGTACGTCCCTGGATAAGATTTTGAAATTCTGAGCTCTACTTCTGATTAAGCATCAGCAGCAAGCGATCTACCTAATTTCGTGATTTTTTGATGGCTGGTCTCGGAAATATTGAGGAAAAACCGTCTTCAGGGTGCGTACCAACCAAGGTACCAACTAACTATTTGAAGGGACTTAGGAAGCATTTTTCGACAACAGTTTATAGGAACTTTTTTCCATAGAAATACTTCAGGAATCACCTCACGAATATTTTATCAATTATCAGAAAACGAACTGTCTATGCTAAAAAAAACAAACAAATTATAACATAATTATGCATCGGCAATTTAATTATTGATTAATTACAGCCTTGTGTGCGCATCGGTCGTGTGTATTGGTATGGCCACTATCCATTTGTTTTGGTGAATTGATCAGAAAGTTCACAGAAAAATCACCGGTTCAGCTGGACCCAGGAGGGTGGGGTCTTGACCCCATAACCCTCCCCCCCTTGGATCCGCTCTTGATGGTGAATGTTCAAATGAGTTAAAATCAAAATTAGCGTTATTGTCCAAGATGAAATCTTAAATCACTATATAAATGATCACAGTGGGCTGACGCCATGCTGTTAGTGGACCAGAATTAAACTCCCTGATCAAACTCAGCCTCCACAATTTTATTGCAATAATAGTCTTCAAAAAACATGAATCACAGCATATCACGTGATAGAAATGGTTCGAAAGATATATAGGCACTTCTCAAAAACAATTAGGTACCTGTTTTCTTATTAGAAGATGTATGAACCACAACACGACAGGAATGCTTGGAATACTGTTTACACCGCCACGTGATGGTGCCAGAAGCATTTTCACTTTTTTTGGTATAAACATATCCATCATGAATCAACATTGGATTACCATACTGCGACTGTACGAATTCCAAAGGCATTGTTATCAAAAATGACAAAATAAAAATAACGATATGCTCATTACGACAGACAATAAGAAACAATGAAAGCATGTACGGATTTAATGTCGCGGATATAACGCCACGGATATATTGTCGCGAGGATATAATGTCGCGGATATAGCGTCACGGATATAATGACCGTGGATGTAATGACGTGTTACCGGACATGCAGCTTATAGTGGAATGCGAACCAATTCTAGGGCATCGAAGTGCTGCCAGAATTACAACCATGAGTCACACATTTTAAAGAAAAATGTTCTGCCGTTAGCCGGATTCGAACCGACAGTACCTTCGCATCGTAAACGACTATCTAGCAAAAAATTTCAGCTCATAGACAAACTCGGTCACGGATAGATATGAAATAAGTCACAAGAATATTTATAATCATTAACAAACTCAAAAAAATAAATGAATAGCTAATACAAAATCATGAAGATTTATAAATTATCACAGTAATATTCAATCATATAATATGCTTGTGAGAAGAAATACTTTCAGAGCTCTTTTGAATTGTCTATCATCATATATATCTTTGAGATCACAAGTTCTTGTATTGTATATCTTGGTAGAGACTGCATTTTTATATTTTTTATGAACTAAACAAACAGTTTCCAGAATAAAAAGACAGGTAATTGTCAGTACTCGATGGTTCACGCACAGTAACCTGCAGTGCTCTCTAGATTTCACGCCACACATAATTATATTACGAGTGCTCGTTTTTGCAGAACAAAGACCGAAGTCATCAACTGAGAACTACAGAAACCCCAAAATGCCATACTAATTACAATCTGAAACACTTGGATACACTTCATTCACCAATAAATAGGAATTTTACCCAAAATTATTGATATTTTTCCTACAAGAACGATAGGTTGCCCAGGGCACAATACACAATAAAGTACAGAAATAGAATATTATGAATTATTAAATCAAAATTGAATATTTTAATTTTTTGAATGGACTCGGCCGTTACTTGATGGAAATCCATAGTTAGTAAATGTAAAAAACTCCACAAATGATAAGATTTCACACGACATATTTCGCTAACACAGTAGTTTCTTCAGGTGAAATACTAGTACAATGAAATAAGAATTTTGTGGAAATATTTGCTGATGCTTGTTTGTTGGTATGTCGCAGGGGCGGTATACGACAGGGGGTTCTGCCATATCGCCTAATGGGCCAGTCCGCCTCTGTACCTATTATTCGTTAGCAGAAAAGTAGACACAGACACCAATTACGTACTTAACAATGGTAATAAAATTAACTGATTTTCATCATCGTATAGTGTGTACGCCATTTATCGAAATAGACCATTACAAAAAACTCAATCGTGATGACAACATGATGCTGATTGCTGAATACAGAAACTATTGGAATGAAGAATGATGGAGAAAAATATTATTGAATGTTCAAGGCTGCATCGCTGCATCATAAAGTGAATGACAAAGCTTTCCATTATTTCATTTTCTAGGAAGGAAGAAGAAGTAAATGAACGATACCAGCCAGTGGTGAATCTGTGGAGGTCTATGCGGCGGCCGTTTTTTTTTTTTCTTAAAAACATAATAACCAATAACAGCTATTTGTATATCAAGGGAGGAAATGTATACATTTCCTCCTGCGTGTGCTCGTAGCGAAGGGCATTAAACACACATGGAAGGAAAATAGGAAATTCACTTTTGCTTCCATAATATCATTTGCATCATTCTTGAGAATGTTCTTCAGGCGGCCTCTGTCGATCCAATTGATATATTATTCCAGGTATACCTAAATATAGTGAATTAAAAGCAGCGATAGAAGATAACAAATGTATATTGTTTTCGTCAAGTATCTCATGATAGTTCGAATTGTGTTAAATTGACTGCTGAAGGTGTCCAAGGAATTATAAGTGGTGCTAGCAAGTAGCAGCAAGACAAAATAATTGAACTCTTGAAACCAGTGCCTATTCATCCTCTAATTGTACACGTCGAATGTCGTCATTTGCACGTAAATCCGAACGAGATGAAGAATGATCTCAGGTTCAAATCAGATCCTGATAGAGAAGCATCAACTAGTAGCAGCAACAGCAGCAACAGAGCATTGTGATCTGAGCTGCCGACACTCGCATTCAAAGATAATTGCTTGTTTTGTGGCCAATTCATCAAGGAAACTGAGAAAATAATTAAATCTGCAATTTTACCAGCACGAACTTTCGCGTTTCGACAAACTATTATTGACGAGTGTGATGCAAGAAACGATTTTTGATCATCAAATGTCTATGCACGTCTTCTCTCCGTTATCGATACTTACCAGCAGCAGATGCTCTGTATAATCAGAAATGTAGTGTGAATTTTGGAAAAGGCGACTCTATTCCTAAGAACATGATATTCCCAATGAACAGACAAAGTTAGCTGAACGTCCCTCTGATGAAAATAAAGAAGATGTCTTTTTAGAAATATGCAGGTGGCTCAAGGAAAATGATGAACCGATTTCAGTTCAGGAGTTGCTGGCCAAAATGGCAGAGCTGCTGCCAGAAAATATCGAACCTTACATGCATAAAAAATCAGAAGAATATTTCTCGGATGTCATTATGATATTGAGACAAAAAGGTAGAGCTAATATGATCGTAACAGGGAAAACAGTTGCAGTTGCCATCATAATTTGTGATTATCAGCGACAAAAGTGTTCAGAAGATCCAGATGCTGAAAAATTTCGGATAGTTGAAGCAACAGCTATGCTGATTAAGAATTTAATCAATTTGATGAGAACATCCTAAGAGTATTATCCTTCACCAGAAGAAATAAGTTCCGAGCAGGAAAATAATAAGCTTCTACCCGACATTTTGAAAACATTCTTGGATATAATAATCAACAAAAAATCCTCAAGTTTGAAGAAAAATTCGATCG